TTGCTTTCACACTCTTTTTGCTCAGATCCAGCTTTGCTTTGCTTCTCATCGTTTATAATCAGTAAAAGTACACTTAATTCTGAACCATGGAGTTGTGTGGTTTCTTTCTTGGTTATTAAGTGAAGGAGCCATGACATTCACACTGTTTTAGTTCTCCACTTCAAAATTGGTCTTTTTCTAACTTGTGCCAGTTCTAACCCAGCCTTGCTGTTTCCTCTGCTAGGACTTCATTTACTCTAGAAAACATCTGTATCCCTGGTTTATTTATTAGATTTTTAATCTTTCCTTTATTACTTTATAAGTAATTCCAAGACTGAGAACATACCTAATACTCCTTCCTCCTCTTCTTTTCACCACAGCAGTAACTTAGTGAAGTGGGTTGGTTGAGAGAGAGTGACTAGCTCAAAGTCACCCAACTGGCTTCCAATCAGAAGCACTAGAACTCACCATCTCCTGGTAATTGGTCCAAAGTCATCCAAATGGTTTTCATGCCTAAGGTGCAAGGGTGGGTTCCAGCCACCACTACTACCAGTTCGGGGCTTGAAAATGTTTGCCTCCCATAGGAAATAAAAGAGGAGCAAAAGGGGAGGGGGCTTTTGCAGGAAACAATTCAGTCAGTCAGTCCTTAGATTCGTTTCAGGAGTGTGAAGATCTGTCCGTGAATCTCAGAGACTCCCTGTCCAGGCTTTCCTTGCACAGCACTTCATTTGAGAAAATAGTTACATGGCAGCTTTCCAAGATAGATAAGGTTTGTGGTCATAAATATTCCTTTGAAAGACTGTTTGCCAGGCTAAAGGTGAATGAGAAGAATTCACATTTGTTTAATAAAAGGGGTTTTGTCAGGACCAGGACTCTGTTTCGTGCTTTATGGGGAAGGTCAGAACAGTTACTTGGATTCTGAGATCCTCTGGGGTTTAGTCAAGCTTGAGGGCAATTTGAGAATTTTGCTCCAGGCAAAAGAAATGCAGCGTAATTCACTGTCTGTCTAGACTGAGGTTCCTTTTGATTTAGCTCCATTCTAAGGGATATTTTTGGCTGGTTTCCAAGGTGAGGCTGAATCATTGGTAGGTGGGGGGGTGTTTGGGGATTGTTATGTGTGTTGGGCCTGGTCTCTGGGGGTTATGTGAATTTCGCTGTATGTGTAAACTGTGTATATACGTACAATGACAATAAAGTAAAGTTGCTTCAAATTGAGAAAACAGCTGGAGGATAGAAGGACTTTTGCCATCATTCATGGCCTTCCTTTCTGGTTTCAGATCAAAATCCATCTCTTTCCCCAGCTTTGAATTGCCTCCCCAGAGCCTGCTGGTTGGTTTTTCAACTGAAAATGGAGGTTGGTGTGAGCTATGCTATTTCCAGCTCTTGCTGAAGGACATCTCCCAAAATAACTGGTGGTTGGA